GAATAAGAAAGTGCTATAAATGTGGCAATCCATCTCATAAAGTGGAAAACTGTACATTTAAGGAAAACACAGAATGTCTTGTGCTCAACATTTTTTGTCCATTAATGTACTTCAAGGACTCATGATCCAAATGAAAAACAAAATGACTTGCACGCAAATAATGACTCCAATAATCTAAAGCACGAAAAATATCATAAAACTCCTTATCATAAGTGCAATAATTTAGCCTTGCACCACCTAACTTTTCATAAAAATAAGCAATAGGACGTTTGGTTTGGATTAGAACATCCCCATTACCAACACCACTTGTATCATATTCCACTTCAAAAGGTTGAGAAAAATCAAGAAGGGCCAAAATAGGAGCATCATATAACAACACCTTGAGCTTCTTAAATGACTTTTAAGCTTCTTCCCCCCATGCAAAGACTCCTTTCTTCAAACAACCTGTTATGGGACTTGCAATGGTACTAAACTCACGAATAAATCTTCTATAAAAAAAGCAAGGCCATTAAATGATCGGACTTTAGAAATGTTGCTAGGAATGGGCCATGACTTGATTGCTTCGATTTTGGATTGGTCCACAGACACACCATCTTTTGACACCACATAACCCAAAAACGCCACTTTGTCCACCAAAAAATGAACACTTCTCTTGCTTCTCATAGAGTTTTTGAGCTCTAAGGGTCTCGAAAACCTATTTTAAATGCAACAAATGTTCTTCCAAGCTCTTTCTATATACCAATATATCATCAAGGTATACCACCACAAACCTACCCAAAAAAGATTTTAGCACTTCATTCATTAGCCTCATGAAAGTGATAGGTGTGTTAGTTAAACCAAAAGGCATCACCGTCCATTCATACAAGCCATGTTTCATTTTGAAAGCGGTTTTCCACTCATCACCTTCACGCATTCTGATTTGATGGTACCCACTTCTCAAATCGACTTTTGAGAACACAATGGAACCATGCAATTCATCCAACATGTCAACAATTTTAGGAATAGGAAAATGGTATTTTGTGGTTATATTATTCATTACTCCTCCCCTATGTAACATATCCTTATCAAATTGCCAAGGACGCCCCAACAAGATACGACATACATCCATAGGAATAACATCACACAACACTTCATCTTTATAAGACCCCATAGTTAGACCAACGCTAACCTATTTTGTCACCTTTATTTTGCTTCCATCATCCAACCAATGAAGAGCATATGGTTTTGGATGGTTTGTAGTAGACAAGCCCAATTTGGTCATCATTTCATTAGAAGCAACATTGGTACAACTTCCACCATCAATAAGCAAACTACACCACTTGTCTTTAACCAAACATTTGGTGCGAAACAATTGGTCTCGTTGATCCATATCAGCCACAGTTTGAACCCCTTGAGTTTTAAGGGTTCTAAGTACCAAAACCGTATCATACACCGGTGCTTCATACTCTACCTTCTCCTCTTCTTCCTTTTCTTGTTGTGTATCATGAAAAATACCCACCAACCTCTTTTTTTTCCTCCAACTCTTCACGACATTCAATGACCTCCCTTAAAGTCACCACCCTTTTGTTTGGACAAACATTTTGGTAATGACCAAAACCTTGACACTTGAAACATCTAATCTTCGCCAAACTAGTTTCTTTGGTACCACTAGTAAGTTCACGCAATTTAGACACCTTGAATTCTTCTACAACCCTATGTCCACCACGTCGGGGTTGCCTTCGATTTCCACCATCTTGGACATTTCTTAAGGCTCCACGAAGATTTTGTAGGAACTCTGGATCATCAAAATCCATTATGGGCTCTGATAGCACTTACGATGCGTGTATGGGCTTGATTTAGTGAGTAGGGTAATGTTTAAGTAAATTAAGAGAAAATAGCAACCACAAATGATATGTGAATGGAAAGAAATAGATAGATTAGTAACAATTCAAGACCTATTAAGTTGTATACTGGTGAAAACAATCCAAGACCTATTGGATTGAATTCGTAGCAAGTCAAGATCACGTCCCAACAATGATAAGTAGTGAATTATAACAATAATTCCAAGTGAACAAAGGTTCTTTGACAAAAATCTGTGTGTGTCTTTTTTTCAGCAAAAACTTGGCTTATATGAAGCCTTTATTACAAAGTTGGTGGTTACAAGCCAACCAACTAACTACTCATCAAAACTAGTAAATGAAATTTAAGGAAACTCATGAAAAAAAACACAAAAAACGTCTTACACACTTAAGAATAAAAAAAACGTCCATGCTTCATTAAGGAGCCATAAGAAGCATTAAAGTGTAACCCTAATCCACCAAAGAGTATCAGAAACTGCTAGGAGACTTTATGAAGTAAAAAGTAACGGTTTTGAACACTTAAGAAACTTTAAAACGTTACCTTAGCCTTCATGCAACCCTAATCCAATTTATGGGTTACCATGCACAACCCAATCATTGAGCCCAAACCACCTTCTAGCCCACTAGTAATCACTAATCCATCATCTTTTGGGCTTTCATGATCCATGGATGGATCAATTTAGGTAACTGTTTGTTGTATAGGTGACCTATAGAGTTGGCATTGGATCAACGTTCTTTTCTGCTATCTTTTCAGACTATGAGGTGAGTTTTCCTCACTGTACTTGTGGATCGAAGGCACCAATGCCGGCCCAGTAGATTATATATCATGGTTTAGGATTTTGCTATGCTGTAATGATCTGATGAGATCTACATGTTGATCTGTTTGCTGTTATATATTTATCTATTTCATATGTCGACATAGTGTGGTTTGGGTTGAGGCTGTATTGCTTTGTGTTGTCGGCTAACAAACTCGATGGTAATCCAACCGGGAGGTTGTGTGCCAGAGTAGCAATCTAATCGAGAGATTATGGGCTAGTGGCAATCCAATCGGGAGATTATAGGCCATAGTGGCAATCCAACCGGGAGGTTGTGGGCCAGGGTAATCCATTCGGGAGACTGTGGAGCCATCATGCATTTTGTATATTTATGTGGTTATGTGTGATATTTGCGGGAACTCACTAAGCTTTGGCTTACAGTTTAAGTTTTATGTATCAGATACTTCATATGATAGGGGCAAGGCGAAGGCTTGATCGTGCACATCCTTTAGTTTTTATGAGATTCGATTTTGGGATACTCTGATTTGTGATTTTTACACTTTGGAAACTATGTTTTGTAAACATTTATGGGTTTGGGTTGTTTTTGAAAAATGAAAATTTCACCTTGATTTTTGGGATGTTACATGTATGAGACGATTCCTGGTCCCAATTAGGATTTGTGTTATTTCTAAATAGATTTAATGATAACTCGGAAGGAGTTCATCAGAGATCTTGGTGTGGCCATAGAAAAACTTACACAAAATTATACTCAAAGTTGTTAGAAATTATTGATATTAGAGTTTATTTAAAAGGGAACTTCGTTGATCCATTCACTAAGTCATTACCTAGTCAAAACATGACTCTCGCTCTAGGTCTATTGGATTAGATTTGCAAGTGACTTAGTATAATTTAGTAGTTGATTTGATGTTTGGGAATAGTTACAATATGAACTTTATCTAATATAATGATTATTATACGGAGATCACAATATATAATGGGATATATTATATGCATTAGTACATTATTGTGTTCCATTTGCATGTTTACATACTTCCTTGAATTCTAAATTAAGAATCTTCATAGTCGATCATTCTTCAAGGCATGAAGTTTTGAATTAAGACTGATGTGGGGTGTTAGTAGATTATCAATAGTGATTTATATATCATAGGGATACGACTGAGTTCCACTCGTACTTGATATATATCAAGTTTTGGAGTAACTCATGCTTAGAATATTACTTCATGGAATATTGTCACGGGTAATTATAAGATGGCAATATCTTATGTCCTCAAACACAAAGACTTCATCTGGAAACACTTATGCCACTTCACCAACAACACATTTTCGTAGAGCATACACCTCTTATTTAATTGGGAACCCAGAATAAAAGATTCATTTTTTACTAAATACTTTTTCATCATGTCAAACTTCTAGAACCAACAGCTTTGTATTGTAACATGAATATGATTTGAGCAATGATTCAATGACAAAAAAAAATCAATACCAAGACTTAAACCCTAATAAATGCAACATGGGAAATTAGGACAATTGTAGTTGATCTTAACAGAATTAAAATTCTCAAAACCTTTTTAATAGACACGACAACAAACATACAGTAAAGTACTCGGATCGTGGTCATGTGTTTATAAACTTGAAAACTGGAATTTGATCAACCAAGCATGAAACATTAGAGAATAACGAGACAAATAGTTACGGATGGACGATTCTTGTTGGCAATTTCGATTTTGTTTAAATTTAATTCTTATCGGATCGAAACACGAATAGCTACAATAAGTCAAACAGAGGTACAAAGCTGCAGAGAAAGAAATTAAGAAGTCGTTTAGGGTTAGTGATACCGATTACCATATAAAATCAGAAGTCGTTTAGGGTTAGTGATACCGATTACCATTGGTGGTGGTAAGAGACATAATGGGAAAGTGGAAACGATGACGAAGGTGTATTGGGAAGTGGAAAGTGGAAACGATGGTGAAGGCGTATTGGGACGAGTAAGATACACAAAAAAAAAGTTAAATATAAAAAAATCCTTTGTAAAAAAAGGTTAAAAGTTTCGAACATGGGTTTCTCCTGAAATAGGAAAAAACCTCCGCCGCTTTAACCATCCCAACTACAAATGCGTTTGATATTTAAATACACATCTTATAATTCTAATATATATAGTAACTAGGGCCCCGAGATTTGGTGAGGTTCGGAGCGATCGTCCAGTTTGTCGTACCCGTAAGGCCGACCGTGTTCATAATAAAACTAAATCTGGACAAATAAATAATAAAGGAATAATTTTGTAAATTAGTAAAAAAAAAAAAAAATGGTAAATTATAATCAATATAATGGGGCGGATTGCGTGAATCAAAAGTTCGCATATAACCCAACACACCACACTACCCCCACCCCAAAATAGTGTTGAGAAAGGAGATTGTGACAGAACGGATGAGATAGAGTGACAGTCACAGTTTCCGTCTATATATGTTTACTGTATCTATACATATATAGAGAGAGAGAAAAACAAAAACACACACATATACTGTGTGGAAGATCAACCAAGAGTTTTCTTTTCCCCTTTCACTTTTTCATTTTGTCCGTTTCCTCTGCTCCGGCCGACCAACCACCGGTACAATGTTCGTCATCTCTCTCTATTTCTCTCTCCTCTCTCTAGTCTCAGTATATGTATACGTATGTAGAGATATGCATATTACTATGTGTAATGTGTGATTGCTGTATGTTTCTGTTCAATCGCTTGTGATTTTTTTTCGTTGATGATATAGTGATCGTTTTGAGAGTTGATTTTCTTGTTATTTTATCTTCGAGTGTGTCAACGGGGAAATGTTGATGTATGAATGAGGCTACCGGCGGTTGTTTCTGGTATTCTGCCTGTAAAATTCGGTGTTACTGTGGATTTTGTTTGATCAAACTGGTAAGCGGTGTTTGAATTGGTTGATTTCTATATGAATTTCTGTGTATTCGGCTGTAATTTGAGGGAGTTGAAGTGCAAAAGGCGTGAATATAGCAGTTTCTTGTTGGAATTAGACTAACTGCGTGTGCTTGTTTCTCGCCCTAGCACGTTGGTTGACTTGAATTTTTTTTAGTTACTGCCGTTTTGTTTGAATAAATTGTTATGTTGAGCATGAACCTAGTTTGAATTGTGCAATGTAACATTTTTTTTAGGTCTTTTCTTTAACAGAGGGTAAAGAAGATGAACAATACGCTACTATTTCCTAGCTGTGTTGGTTTCTGCTACATGTAAAAACTGAACTCGATGTTTGTATTAGGTTTTCGCTGGTTGAGGCACTTGTTTTCTGTTAATTTGTTTCCATACACGTAATTAATTAAGGTTTTGACTTTTACGATTCATATCTGAGATGTAATTTTTATGACTGCAGCTTAGTTTGTTTTGCATTTCGTTATTTAAGAAGTTATGTAAAGGAGTGGCATCCATAAACTTGATTTCTGCTTTCCAAATTTGGGTATATGTGGGTTTATGTTCAAGTGCTGATTGTGTTCTATCTTTTATATCATATTTGATGATCTTATTTCTAGAGGGTTATGGAAGAACTTACCATGTAGGAGACATTGTGAATGATATATTTGGTTGTTTCTTGTGGAGTTTTATGCCACAAATTACTTTATGGCAGAAATCATAGTTAACTTGCATTCTGAAAAAGGTGTTTTAATGCAGTTTTCTTGGCAGTTTCTTTGGTGAAGATAATTAAAATTATCATCCACAATGGATGGGAATGGAAATCGACAAATGGAGGTCAATTACATAAACACAGGATTCCCATACACAGTCCCTGAGAGCTTCATGGACTTCTTTGATGGAATTTCACATCAAACTGCACATTTTCCTCATTCGGGTCCTATCCATGATCAGGTTGTTTTACAATTCATTACCCTTTTAGAAGTATGATTCTTTACATGGTTTTCTGCTATGTGATATTGATATACTAGAGTTTCCTTGATACTTTTGTCTAGGAGCATAATGCATATTGGGCAATGAATATGAGTTCATACAAATACGGATTACCTGGTATTGGAAATGTACCTTATTATGATCCATATGAAGTTCACAATTATGCACCAAGAATGGATATGAATCGAAGTGCATGGGAGTATCCTGTAATGATGAATGTCACAGAACCTGCTACCACAGATGTCCAATCAGCTGAGAATTCAGTTCCAAGCATGCAAGCTATTCCTGAAGAATGTCAGTTCCTGTTTTTATGTTTCCAGCTTCAAGAAATAGCAATGTACTTTCTTTTATTTGTGTTTATTATAGCATCGTGCTTTCGATTCTTCCTCTTACAGTTATTGCAATGTCATCCAAATGCAAAGCAATTTTCATTGCTTCAATTGAGTAGATTTTTCAAAGTACAACATCCTAATAGAAAACTTGAAAAAAGTTGAAAATACAATGTTGTAATAGAAAGAAATGAAATAGGATGCTATAATGCACAACTAAATGAAAGTGTGTTGATATGTCTTGCATTTATCCCTGAACTTAAATCTTCATATCAGCAGTGGTGAATGATCAGCTATCCTTATGGCATCTTTCTGTATTTTGCAGGTAGCCCAAATCATGACAGTGCTTCTAGTTCTCAGGTATTAAGTTTTATTTATTTATTTATTTTTCTTCATTGGCTTTTATGCATTCTTTTGTGGAGTCTATAATCAAGATTATTATCGGGTGAAATGCAAGAAATAGCAATATATACTTTCATTAATTTGTTTATTGTAGCATATCCTACTTCAATTTTTTTTTCTATTACACATTTTACATTGAACAATCTTTTCGACTATAGCAATGTCATCCAAACACAAATCAACTTTCACTGTAATAATTGAGTAGATTTTTCAAAGTAAAATGTTCTAGTATGAAAAAGTTGAAAGTGGAAAGCTAAATTTGGGTATATTTTTCTAAATACAATGCGTTAAAAAGAAGCATATAATTATAATTACAATATTGTAATACAAAGAAATGAAAGTAGTATTCTATATAATACAGAAACAAATTGCTAAAATGTTTTGTGCATTGCAGGTTGTTTGGCAGGATGACATCGATCCAGACAACATGACATATGAGGTTTGCTATTAATTGTTTTTTTTTTTTGGCTAATTTGTTATTTCTATTCTTTTCATTCATAAGTAATATCTGTTTTGTGAGGAAGAATCATCAGAATGTCTAATTTCAAATCAAATACTGCAAGAAAAATTTTCTTTAAAGTTGTTGAAGTGTACTATGAATTCAACCAACAAAAAAAACTTATAATCACACTAAACAGACCCAGAAACAATACTTAACTATAATAGATATGTTAACATTTGAAGTTAATAAGTAATGGATATAGTAGAAGTTACAAAAAAACTAATAAATTGCAAAAAAATAATAATAATAATAATAAATACCCTTCAACTGCAGATGGGAAAACATGTAATGGTCTTTTTCTATAATGAGCCAAATATGTTAGACTAGGTTGGGTTGATTTGTTGGATTCTCTCACATTCTCTTTTCTTTATTTATTTATTTACTTTTGTCTTTTGGGTTTTGCCAAAGGACTAAAATATATGTATAAATTTAAGGGCAAATTGCAGGAAATATCAAACTACTTTACTCTTTTTTACTATTCTTAGTAAAAAATAAAGTACATTGCCCATATTGGTAACGAGAGTAAAGTAAATGAAGGTGACTAGTGTTAAAATTTTAAGTTGTTGTTTTAGAAACAATAATTGAAAGCTGTTACATCACATATCAATATCAATAAGAATAGTTTAGGTGTATAATTTTTTTTTATTGTTATATCAACATATCAAAAGATTAGTTTATCAAAGATTTTGAGGTAGAAACTGAGAAGATGAACATTATTGCTAATTATAAATCTGAAAATTATATGAATTTGAATTTCAAAAATAAATTGTAGACTGGAACTGGTTCTACAGAATTGTTGTTCTTTTTTACAATCTTACTTACAACTCATAAATGAAATAATAATGATATCAATAAACAAATTTATTAAGACAAAATAATGTGTTGAAATTATAAATTCCCTTGAGAATGAAGATAATTGTATGGTGCCATTGCTACCCATTTGACCCATGTATTATTAGAAAGTAGAATGTTATAATTTGGTAGATTTTTCAAAGTGCAATGAGTTAATAGTAAACTTTTTTTTTTTTTTTGAATATATATCGCTGTGATAGAATATAATGAAAGGAAGATGACATTTTTATTTACTGATGCAGGAATTACTTGATTTAGGAGAGGCAATTGGGACAGAAAGTCGAGGTCTTTCTCAAGACCTAATTGATTCCCTTCCAACTACAAGATATAAGTCTGGTGGTTTCTTCTTAAGAAAAAAATCCGGAGAGAGGTCTGCAACTTTTATAAAATTATTCCACCAATTAAACTTCATATCTGATTTAATTCTTTTTACAAATTTTTGAATGCTAAGTTGCTAGTAATGTTGTTGAAAAGCAGGTGTGTGATTTGCCAAATGAGATACAAGAGAGGGGACAAGCAAATCAATTTGCCATGCAAGCATGTTTATCATACCGAATGTGGATCCAAATGGCTCAGCATCAACAAGGTAATAAATAATCAAATAAATAATTTATCTCTAATCAAAATACTTGTACTTGTTTTCGGTTAAATGCAACCTACTTTTACTTCCATTCATTTCTTTATTATAAACATCCTACTTTCATTTCTTCCTATTACACCATTCTACTTTAAAAAAAATAACCAATTTCATTCAAATACAAACCATCTTTAATGCTAAGTACAATGCTATCATTGGGTAGAGTTATTAAATTTTAATGCCATAAAATTAAAAAATATATATATATAGGAAGTGCAATTTTGTAATAGAAAAAAGTGAAAACATGATGCTATAATAATACACAAATAAAAGAAAGTACATTTCTATTTTTTGCATTTAGCCCTATTCCATTTTGGTTTAAATGCAAGAAATAACATTGTAAAATTTTCAAAGTATAATGCCTTAATAAGAAAAAACAAGTGAAAGTACATGTGTTAGTAGTAAGAAATGAAAGTAGGATGTTATAGTACACACAAATAAATTAAATTAAATTGCTATTTCTTGCATTTAGCCTTATTCTTTTTTTTCCCCTTAGACATGTCCTATTTGCAACGTGGAAGTTCTTGGTGAGGAACCATCATCATCATCAAGCCGCTAAAAACTCATTGAAATGGTCAAATCGCCACAAATTTTCCCATCTTTTTTTTTTTTTTTTTTTTTTTTTTTGCTTTTTTGTTTATTTTTTTACTTACATAGAAGGTAGTTAACTCAAGTTTGTCCTTAATTACGTGTTTTTATATAGGATGTGTTGTTAGCTTTATATAAAAGGTGAATATGAACGACTGGGATCCTTTTTTTTTTTATGTTATTATTTTAGGTTAAATTGTTTCTAAGATTAATAGTCAAATTGTGAGTTTATTAAATTAGTAATGAACCGAATCCTCTATTATATTTGTTGAATTTTGACGTGATTGAACTTGAAACTTTGGTACTATAAACTATGTTTTCATGGGATTGAGACTGAGATTAATACTAATAAAGATGTGAATGTCCGTTTTATTCAATACAAAATGTAACAAATGCACCCTAGAAGAAAGACTTTGTATGAATTACATCAATTAGATTGGTGGTTGGACGATACCTTGTATTTTCATATTACTTTACTTATACTTACAAACGTGAAGTGTTTTTGTAATAATATGAAATACATCAATTGTGTCAAATTTTAATTTGGCAAAAATGGTTGATTTGGAACCAAAATACCAACATGTAAGAAATATTTAAAACTGGTTACAAAGAATCTCAAAATAGAGTAAAGTCTAAAGAAAATGGTTGTGTAATTGCTCTTAAAATTTGGGTTGAAACTCAAATCGAAACAGTATTTAAAGGGCATGTTTAGCAACGTGTTTTTAAAAGTCTTCATGAATTTTTTTTAACAAATAAAACATATTGTTCGCTGGTACGAGTTTAAAACTTTATTTTAGACAAAAAAAAAAAAATCTAATTCAAAAACGGTTTCAAATAGATTTTGAGAACTTTTAGAAATTTTTAGCTTTTAGTTTTTATGTTGTCATTTTACATTTTTTGAAAGTTAACCTTTATCTTTTTTTGGAACATTTTTATATAAATAAAACTTACAATTTTCCAGCTAGAAACTAGTTTTACAAAACGAATCCTAATACTTAGTTTGGCGTTTAAGACTAAACTCAATTAAAAACAAAGCAATTTTCAATTGTAATATAAATATGCCAACTCAAAACTAATTAGAATTTTGTTTCTATTTAGATTAATATTAAATAAAGATTCTTTAAAAAAAAGGATGAAAAAAAAAAAGCTGAACCATACTTCTCTTGAATCGCCTAACAAATCGAATCAACTAAGATCTCCTATCAATAATCTACGGATCTTAAGTTTTAGATTTCATTCTTTAACACATACACAATAAACAAATAAAAAGTATACAAAAATCTTATTTGATGGGACATGGTAATAAGATTTGGATCCAATCTTCTAGTGCATTATTATAGATGTTGTAGTTGTACTTGTAATGATTTGTAGGTGGTCAAGGATCCAATAATCCATAATACATCTTTCCACATCGTATATATATTATGTCAAAATCATTAAACATATATTTTAGACTAATTTACTTATATCAGTGTAGTGTTTATCCTTATTATTTGACTATTTATGTAAGTGGGGGATACATATAGTAGTACCAATCTTTTACGAGTACACTGAAATGACTGAATGCTTTTTTAAAGTACATAAGAAAATAAAAATGTAGCCATCGTATATTTAAACATTGTATTATAATAACCAAATAAACATGATTTTATACTATTAATTTAGAAAAAAAAAACAATAGTAATAAGTAATAAAAACCGCTATCATATTGTGAAAAATAATTCAATACAATTCATTTCACCGCTCCTAACCTAGTTGCTATATAAATGACACATCATTTGTTTATTTCTTCTTTGGTTTTCATATTTCCAAACCACAACTCAAAATATCCATTTTTCTGAACCCTTCCAATCCACTTCTTAATATGAGTACCGAAGCCAAAATATACAAGTTAAGAAAGAAAAAGTTGGCAGGATACTAAAGCTGCTCACCACCACACCCCGTCAAGGGGCGAAGCCATTTAGGTTTTTACCCCCGCTTCATCCATCCTAATAAGGCTTGACGGTGGGTGCCGGTGTCACCACACTCCACATAAGTTCCACCTTATTGATCTTGACATTTTTGCCATTTTTTTATAGGATGTAGTGTTCATAGCCAAAAATCAGGTAAAAAGGAAAGAGAGGCTTAGATGAAGAGAAGGAGAGAGAACGGCAGAAGTGTGCCGCTGGTAAAATGACGCCGACAATATTGAGGATTACGGGGCTGTATTTGCCGCCAACAATCTATGCCACATAGGATGCTGACGTCAATAATACCATGGCACCGTTTAGTCTAAACTAACCATAAGATAAAACTAAATTCTAATGTTCATAACAAATGAGATAACCGGGTGATCTTGAATATTGAAGAATAATGTGGATTGTAATAATTAACATATAATGATCGTACGGAATTTTCCCCGTCAATAATAATAATAATAATAATAATAATTATTATTATTATTATTATTATTATTATTATTATTATTGATGCAGTGATATACTGTAGACGTAATAATCTATATTAATAACATCATGTATTTATAGCTTTTAACTACTGACAAATAATATTTAATACTAATTTCATATTTACTTAAAATTTTATGAGAAAAAGATAAATCAGACTAATCCCATAATAACAACATATTTACATTTTATTTACCAATAATGGGAATATGTAACAAATAAATAAATAAAAAGTAATCATGTTGCTATATAGGTAAAAAATAAAGTACACTGCTATTATCGATAAAGAATTCAAGTGTGTTGCTATTATAGGTAAGAAAGAAAATACATTGCACATATTGCTATCGATAGTAAAGTACCTTTCTATTCTCTACAATTTTTCCTTTCTTTAATTTGAAAGGGTAGTATCGTAATTTCGTTGACCTTGCTTGATCTTTTTTACTTGGCCATCAATAAGGGAGCCAAAAGTGGTTGTGAAATGGAGTCTTCACAAGCTAAAAATGAAGCACTCACAGATGTTGGAGAAGTTGTCCCCACTTCATTTGAATCATTTGAAACTTTAATCAAGGAAACATATGAGAAATTGGTACATTTCGATTTGTAAAAATCCTAATCCTTTTATATTCCCATTTTTTCCTTCATGAAATTAAAACTTTTCATTGTTTTATTATGCCGAGGTAAATTTGTTCTTCAACCTATCAGGTTCTATATTTCATTATGGTTGTTTATGTCGATCAGATTTGTGAGTGTAGGAAATCCAGGTTACGCATCAAATTGATGTGATAGTATTTCTTTTTCAATCTCGTCTTAGTTTTTTATAAGCCCATCATACATCGACTTTACTACAATGTGGAGAAAGTTGATAGGACAAAAAACATTAAAAATCAAATTATTTACTTCTAATCTTGTGCAAATTGTCTGTTCCATGTAATCTTGACTTAGTTTGGGATAAAATTATACTATTGTGTAATTTCCTTATTAACAAACGATTTAGATAACTTCCTTCAGCGTTCTTCCAAATCTTACTAAATTTTGGTTTGCTTGGATCACTTTACTCAGATTTGCAATGGAATGTGACGAAAGAATAGTGGCAAAAAGAAGGGGCTTGTATGGCTAATGTTATAAGGAAACAAAGGTTTGTCCAAAATATTGGTGAAGTTAGAAGTTGGTTGCTATTTAGTGAGTGACATATAAACGGAATTAATATGTTTTGTTTAATTCTCTTATATTTTTCTTTTGAATAAGAGTCATCAAATGTGGATGATAGGCTTGAGTTAGAGTTTATAATATGTTATGCATGGGAAAAATGACAGCATGCTTAAATAGAAATATTGTATCGTAGAACATGTTTAAAATTGATATTTTATAAATATGAACAAACTTTCAATGCATTAAATGCACCACTCTTGCCTGCCGCAAAGCATGAGAATCCCTCAAGTTATGGATTAAAATGAAATAGGCATTATAATATATAATTAAATAAAACGAAGTTGTTATTTTTGTATTATCCCCATTATTTTGAAATTTCTTCAAGAGTATAAAAAAACAACATAAACAATTACAGCAAAGTCTACGGACAAAAAACATGAACATATATGAAAATAAAATACTAAATGAACGTTCAAGGCATACATTAGTGTATATGTGTCTAGTTAGGCATAAATTGACGTATATCAAAAGTTTGATAGAATACATTCTATTTTATATCTATGCAATTTTAGCAATCACAAAATGATCACCAACTGATTGCAAAACCCATCATTGTTGGCTCTTGATGAGGCTACACTAAATAAACAAAAGAAACTAGTTCAGATTAATAGTATAATGATCATTTTGCTAATTAATTCAATTTAGGTTTAATCATTTTTTCTATCATTTTGTTAATTTTCTTGTAAAGATTTTTGTGTTGAAATCTATACACACTTTGGCAAAAAAATCAAAGACTATTAAGTTGCCATGTAAGAACGAATACGGTTGAGTTCCAACAATCACTTGTATTTGCTAGCAAAGCTACAATTAAAAAAAAAGAATAATAAAAAAAACATCCAGATATCCTATTTATCAGCCATACTCAAACATATTCAAGCAAACAAAGCAACCAGGTAGCAAAACTCCATATGAAGTAAAGCAAAAACAAGAGACACCAAGCAGGAGAACATATCACTCCGAGGGACGCCTCAACAAGTTTGGAGGTTCTAAGCGTGCCAAAAGTTTAGGACCCTTTGGCTTTTACTATACTTATGTTTATAAAAAATTTAGGGATCTAACTCGTTCCAACCCTGGTTCTATAATATGGGGATATCTCCAGAAAAGTCCCAATATTTTGGGCAAAATTTTAATAAAGTCCTAAATTTTTATTTTTTAAATAAAAAAGTCCCGACTTTTTTACCTTTTGAATAGAAAAGCCCAAGAAACCGGCTAATTTATTCACTTTAGCCATTTTTGACCTGTTCATCAGGTCATTAGACCAAATTGTTAATTTTTCGAAAATAATGAGATTTTTTGCAAATTTCGTCAAATTTTTATATAATGTATAAACATTTTTTTTACAATCTATATCTATTTTTACATATTTTTGTATTTTTTATGTTTTTATATGTATATTTACGTATTTTAAATATATAAACGTATATTTTTACTTATTTATATGTATTTTTAACCATTTTATATATTTTTATGTGTTATTTTTTATGTTTTATGTATTTATATGTATTTTTATATATTTTTACGTATTTATGTATTTTTTAAAGCTTTTTATATAGATGTTTATGTATTTTAAGTGTATAAACGTATTTTTACGTATTTATATCGATTTTTAAGTATTTTACATATTTTT